TATAGTCATCAATTTTCTAGATAAGGCTTTCACGTGTTACTTAGACTCCTCCTTCTTGATGGTCCTGGGATCTTCCCTCTCTGCTTTTGAGATGGCTCCTTTTAAGACTAGCTAGAGGGTAAAACTTACCAATCCCAGCCTTAGAGTCCTGTTACCTTATTTGTATGGTCCCACCCAATCACTTGGGGAGTAGTAAGATGACTTTGAATAGAAAAGCCTTACCAAGTAAATTCAAGGCACCAGACAAGGCCAGTGTCTTATGGAGCATATCATTTGTATATGCAAATTGATCATATGCAAGTTCAAATTGAAGCTGAAGAATGTTAAGACAAGTTCACAAAAGCCATCTTGAGCATGTCCCACCTGAACTAAGAGACCATCTCAAGAATAGATTTGATATATTTAAACACTAATGAAGGTGAGATGAGTTGTGGGATAACATGCATTAAAAAAAAAAACAACACAAAACAAAGCAAAAGGTATGTAGTAAATGTTGTAGGGGAAAAAAGAGATCGCATCTTCAAATGTGTAAATATTATAAAGACTCTATTAAGTCTGAAATGATTAAAAAAATGCAAAACAAACATAGATTACTTGGGTGAGGGAAATCATTAATGTGGTACCATAATGAAATTCTCAAGTTCTGCCATGGCACTGTTGGACAAAGCCCAAGACCGCAAGTTTGCTTTGAACCACAGCGTCGTTGGTTCAAACTCATCAGCCGCACCTTGGAAATCCTATACAGGGTTGCTGTGAGTTGGAACTGATGCAGTGGCACTTAGCAGCAGCAAGCAGCTCCATGCGCAGTAGCCTTTTTAGGGGACAGAAAACAAAGGACTCTCCTTCCACAGCCATGACTAGGCAACAGTGCATCACACAATGATTGCTGGGCCTACAGAAGCAGAGAGGGAACTGTTGCTTAGGAAAAGCTCACAGACTGTCTCTGAGGCTCTTGGGGTGTGACATCACAAGCAGCCATTAAGGACATACCTCAGAAACCTCCTGGCAGGGAGTTTCTGTTCTTCCTCTGTTGGCTGGGGGAAGCTTGGCTCCAAACCCACTTTATGCTCAACTTTTAGTTCTGGCAGTCTGGCTATAAGAGGTGCATTAGGTAGTCAAGGAAAAAATTGCCATTTGAACCCTTAAGCCTAGGCACAAGATGAAATTAAGCTCTGCCTGACTGGAGTCATTTATAGGCAAAAAGCTTGTAGAGTTCAAACTCTTTACAGAAAGGAAAGTTTGGAGCAACTGAAAATTTCTCTTGAACTAAGGGTTAAAAGTAGATGATGAAAACAGCTGAGCAGAGAAGTTCAAAGGGCAGTTCGAGATGACAAAGTAAGTAATTGCTATGAAATGTACAAAGATCTTGAGTTGGAATGCCAGATGGGATGAAGCCCCTTGACATTTTTCAAGAAAAAAAAACAACAAAAAAAACAAACTGAAGAAAAAATTCAAACCTCAAGTTGCAAATATTGAAAGATTTATGGGCAAATTATTCAGCCATACAGGAAGTATCAGAAGAAAATGAAAGGAATATACAGAATCACTGCTTCAGAAAGAATTGGTTGACATTCACCTGTTTGAGGAAATAGCATGTACCAAGAACTGATGATGCTGAAGGAAGAAGTTGAAACTGCACTGGTGACAAACAAGGCTCCACTAATTGATAAAATTGAAATGTTTTAACAAAAAATTGCAACGCTGAAAGTGTTCACACATTTATGCCAAGAAATTTGGCCAACTGACCGAAAGAAATATTGTCCAACTTAACTGATCCAAGAGAAGGTAGAAATTGTTTTAAAAATATATCATTAGTATCACAGACACATAAAATTTTGGTGACGATGTTGTGAGCACAGTTGGTAGCAGTCCATCAACAGGGAATTGCCAGAAATTAAGACAGATCCAGTGGAGGGTATGGAATGAAGGATATCATTTTTGATGTCAGATGAATCTTGACTGAAGGTAGAAAATAACAGAAAGATGTTTGCCTGTGTTTTTTTTTTTACTGTGCAGTCATTTGATTGTGTGGATTATGACAAATGATGTATATAACATTGCAAAATAATGGGAATTCCAGGACACTTACTTGTACTCATTCAGAACCTGTACATAGAACAAGAAGCTGTTGTTTGGCAGAAGAAGGAGATTTGTGTGGTTTAAAATCAGGAGAGGAAGGTGTCAGGGCTGTATCCTTTCACCATGCTTATTTAATCTGTGTTCTGAACAAATAATCCCAGACGCTGGACTGTATGAAGAAGAACATGGCATCAGGATTAGAGGAAAATTCATTAACAGCCTATGATAGGCTGTTACTGGTGAAAATCAAAGACAGCAGATTTGAATATGGGTTAAAATATTAAAAAGCAAAGTCATTTTGAAGCACTAAGCTATAGTATTTTTTTTTAAATCATGACAATATTATTTTAAATAAGCATTTTGTTTTTTGTTTTTTAATTTAAGGTTTTTATTGTGGCTTCAGTGAAAGTTTACAGAGCAGATCACCAGTTTTACATTCAACAAATCATATACCTTGTTTCATTACAATGATTATAATATCCATGTACCATCAGTTAACATTGTTTCTCTCTATTCACTTTAACTTTAAAAAAAAAAAAACGCTCAGGCATATATAATAATTTACACCACCAAAGGCCACATTCTGCAAGTCTGTCCCCTGGCCGCCATCTCCATGAATCTAGAGTTCTCAGGTGCTCCCTGTCTCCATGTTCCCATATCTGCTACCATCTCTGGTGTCGCTGCTTCTCTGGATAAGGTCTCTCATTCCGCTTGTGCTCTTCTCCCTTGATGATCCTAGGGTCCTTGGTTTCTGGACTGCTCCCCCATTTTTGTTACAAAACTTCTACCTTTACAATTGTGACCGTCGCAATTAGTCATGATAACAATTACTCATTATTGAATCATAAGAATCTTATCCCCATCTCTTTTAACCAGACCCATCGAGACAAGATGAAAACTATTCAGTGGGAACTCTTTATCTCCTCCCCATCCATACACACACAATTAAACTGAGCTCTCTCTTGAAACCTTGTAAGCCAGTCACTTCGTGCCTTTATCACCCCCTCATTTTAGGTAGCCAATGTCTAAATTGCCCATCCCTATCCATATCAGCTGGATGCTTAACTCTCAGCTCTAGACTTCTGTGGCTATGTCCTTTTCCATGGACTCAGGTGTCCCCAGGTCTCACCATATTTTGGACCAACCAGCCCTTCTTTCTCTCATCTCCGGGTCCACGGGAGTCTGGAACATGGTTGAACTCAGCCTATTTCTTCATTGCAGCCTTTCCCCCTCTTCCACTCACCAGTAGACCAACATGGGTACCAGCAAGTTTACATGCCTGCTCATGTGTTTCCTTTGAGTTTCAGTCTTAGACGGGGGTTTGTCCTGAAGGAACTTGATTGCTTGCCTTGATGGCTTCCTGGTGAAAACTTGCTTATTCTTGTAGTAGCCAGTCATACTCCCATTTTTGTTTTGGGGCTTTCCTGATGATCTTTCTTTGAAGATGTATCTTCTGTCACACTAGCTGTTCTAGCCTGTATGCTTGTCCTTTCTAGTGGGAATGTGCCACCACAGAAGGTTCTGAATAGGGCTCAGGTAAGATATAGTATTTTTAATCACCATATCTGCGTGTAAAAAGTAGACAAATGAATAAGGAAGACCAAAGGAGAATTGATGCTTCTAAATTATGGTATTGATGAAGAATATTGAAATTGCCATGGACTGCCATAAAAAATGAACTAATCTGTCTTGGTAGCCATACAGCCACAATGCTACCAAGAAGCAAGGATTGTAAGACTTCGTTTCATGTGTGTTAAACATGTTATCAGGAGGGACCAGTCCCTGGAAAAGGACATCAGGCTTGGTAAAGAAGAAGGTCAGCAAAATGGTGAAAGACCTTGATGAAGTGGATTGATATTATAGCTGCAACAATGGGTACAAACATAACAATTGTGAAACTGTGGACAGTGATTCGTTCTACTTAGCATGGCTATGAGTTGGAACTGATTTGATAGCACCCAACAACAACAACAACAACAACAACAACAACAACTGAGTCCTGGTGTGACACTTTACGATAAACAGTGCACTGCTAACTCTAGAGTTCAAATCCACTAACCACTCCTTAAAAACCCTATGCAGGGTCACTATGAGTGGAAACCAACTTGACAGCACTGAACAACAACAGTGATAATCATAAACCAACAACAAATCACTCAGATGCAGGAAACAGACCTTAAACAAGTAAGCCAGATAAGCCAGGTTAATGCACCAGACTGCAAAGCCGTTGAACTACAAGGTTGGCAATTCAAGCCCACCATCTGGTCGTCAGAAACCCCATACAGAGTTGCTATGGGTTGGACCTGAGTCAACGGCACTTAGCAACAACAACAATATTCAAGGAAATTTTTTTCCGTGTCTTGTTCCACCTATCCTAACATTAGGGCCCATTGAGACATATGTCCTATATCATATTTCATAAAACCCATTGTTGTTGTTGTTGTTAAGGACTGTGGAGTCAATTCCGTCTCATAATGACCCTGTACAGGGTTTCCGAGGCTGCAAATCTTTATGGGAGCAGAACGCCTCATCTTTTTTCCACGGAACCGCTGGTAGTTTCGAACTGTTGAAAAATCCATTATATCTAACTAAAGTTTATAGTCAGTGATTCACCATTTCACAAGTAGTAAAAAAACATACCTAATACCTTAAAAAAATTAGGCGGTAATAAAAGGAATGGATAAGCACTGGACTTCGAGCAACAAGATGGGTGTTTCATACCCACCAGCTGCTCCCTTAAAAACCCTGTAAAGGGTCACTATGATTCAGAATCAAATCAATGGTACTTAAAACAACAGCAATGAAAGAAATTGGGTATTTATTTTAAGTCCTTGATTTTTTTTTTTTTTTTGTCTTTGTTCATAAAACTCAGGACGATCAGACAGTGTTATTGTACTGATTCCCTCTGTGGTTTCTTTTAGGCAATCCACTGTATGACAGCCTCGGTTCCTTGGGAGTGGGCACTTTACTAGGTGTGGTCTCGGCCTTCCTCATCTACACCAACACGGAAGCACTTTTAGGGCGATCCATCCAGCCAGAGCAAGTACAACGGCTTACCGAACTCCTGGAGAATGACCCTTCCGTAAGGTCAGCCAGGTCACACTGATGCTGTTAAGGTTTATAAAAACATTGAAAAAGAGAAGTGTTTGTGCAGAAGTCCTTCAAAGGAAAGTTTAGATCCTGGTGTGGTGCTACAGAATAATGCACTGGACTACAAGGTTGGTTTGAATCTCAAGGTTCAAGCTCACTAGCAGCTCCTTGGAAACCCTATACAAGGTCACTATTGGTCGGAACCGACTCAACAGCACTTCACAACAACAAAAATATGTGTGGCAATGGTAGAATTCTCAGGAGACAAGAGTTCAGTTTCATGCCAGTGCCTCTCAGGCACAGCCACCACCCATGGATCAGCAGAGACTAACATATTGCTATGAGCAGCTTTCAGCAGAGCTTCCAGACTAATATAGATTAGCAAGAAAGGTTTGTCTACTTGGAGGCTTGCATATTGTTATGAGCTGGTTTCAGCAGAGCTTCCAGACTAACACAGATTAGTAAGAAAGGCTTGGTTGGCTACTTCTGAAAACCAGCTAATGAAAACTCTGAGTCATAATGATCCAAACCCATGGTGTCTGGGATTTCCCTGAGTTGGACTGACTGATGGTAGCTAACAACAACAACATATATATAGTTTATTATATGTACATACATGTATATTTCTTTAAAATAAAGGTGTAGTTTTTTGTGTTATAATCGAAATTCTTAGCTCTTTTAAAAATAACCTGTATCTTAATAATAAGACAACCGACTAAGTTTATATCCTGGTGTGAGGCTGTAGGATGAGCACAATCTCACACAGCACAACATATTAATATGTTTAATTATTTTACTCTCTGTTTTAATGACAACTGTTTGCTTTCTTCATATTCATATGTGATATCCTTGTTATTATCCCATAGCTTGTGTTGTCTTTGGTTATTGATGTTCAGTGTGTCAAGTCTATACTTGAGATAATCTAAATTCAGGTGGGATATACTCAAGGTTGTACTTCAGCTCTTTTGACTTGTTTTAATTTTATTCAGCTTTACCTTGAAATTGCATATGAGCAAATGTGACCAGTTCCTCAGTCTGCCCCTGCCCTTTTTCTGACAGATAATATTAATCTTCTCCATCATCTCTTTTCCCAGAGGTAGTCAGTTTGATTCCTGTGTATTCCATCTTGTAGTCTAAACTGACCTTGTAGTCCAGTGTATTATCCTGAAGTGCCACACCAGGTTGTTGTTGTCAAGTGTCGTAGAGTGGGTTCTGACTCATAGCGACCCTATATAGGGTTTTTGAGGAGCGGCTGGTAAGCTTGAACCACCAACCTTGCTGTCCAGCACATTAACCCACAGCACCACACCAGGTAGAAAGAATGAAAAACTGTTGTGCTTGAACATCTGCTTTCCTTTCTAGGAAGCAGAATACTAGAATGGCAAGATCACTGGGCTTAGGGTATAAGCATCTGGAGGTAGCGTCGCTGTGGTCTGCTGTAGTTAGCTGAATTATTGCTGTTAAGTGCCATTGACTCTGTTCCGACCCATAGCAACCCTGTATAGGATTTCCAAGGAGCAGCTGGTGAGTTTGAACTGCTGACGTTGCAGTTCAAACTGACCTTGTGGTTGAGTGCTTATCCTGTGCAGCCCCACACCAGAATTACTTGGGGGGTAAATCATTTATGCACCTCTGAGATTCAGTTTTATCATGTGTTAGATAAAAGATGCCCTCCTATCTACTTCATGAAAACTGCTCATTAAATGTTTGCTTTGTAATTGGTAGCATTGTGTGTGTGTGTTAGGAATCCCTAGGTGCCACTAATTGAAAGGTTGGAGGCTTGAGTCTGCCCAGAGACATCCCAGAAGAAAGGCCTACTGATCTTCTGACAAGTCAGTCTTTGAAAACCCTGTGGAGCAAAGCTCTGCTCTAACACACACAAGCTGATGGGCAGCCTTTTTTGAATGTGTGCCTTGGGTCATTGTCCCCCAGCCCTGGCCCTACCAGTCCCATGAAGTAGGTACTTACAGTTAACAGTGCTTCACAGAGTCCTGTGAAGACTTCAGAAGCTCTTGACTATAAAAGTAATCAGTATGCTGTAAACCACCATTACCAACGCAGTCTCTTGTTTGTAAGTGATATTTAAGGAATTGGGAAGTGGGATATACGAGAAAAGAAAAAGGGTTTACAAGATAAAATGATAACCTTCTAGACAAGCAGTGTAGATTTAATTATTTATTAATGCACAAACTTTGTAACTCATAAAATATTTATCAGCATTTCATTAGTGCATGGCTTGCCTCAAAGCTGAGGGGACAGTGAACCATGGAAAGTGATAGGCAGAATTTAAACACTCTGAAAACATCTTCATTCAATTGTACATGTTTTGCTATTAAACTATGTGTGCATGCTTATGTTGTGTTTATTAATTTTTATACTTTATCATTGATTGCAGGGCAATTCATGATGTTAAAACCACAGATCTGGGATTAGGCAAAGTGAGATTTAAGGCAGAAGTAGATTTTGATGGGCGAGTTGTTACAAGGTCATATTTGGAAAAACAAGATTTTGACCAAATGTTACAAGTAAGTTTATGTATTTATTTTTTTGAATAGCCAAGTGTTATAAACATTACTGTTTAAGTAAATAAAACATTAACATTTCTTTCACAGATCTTAAAATCATTTCTGCCCTGAACTGTATTACAGTTGCAAAAAATTATGCTAGGATGGTTCAAGGGAGAATACAGAAGAGCATGTGTATTACTAAGGTTTTTTTCCCGACTAGATGTTTTATGTGTGTTATCTCACTCACTCTCAACAATCCTGTAAAATAAAAAAAATCGTATTCTCAACTTTACAAATGGGCAAATCAAGACACTGAGAAGTTAAATAGTTTGTGCAAGTTTGTTGTTGTTAGGTGCCATTGAGTCAGTGCTGACTCATAGCGACCTTATGCACAGCAGAATGAAACAAAGCCCGATCCTGGGCCAACCTCACTATTGTTGCCACACTTGAGCCCATTGATGCTGCCATTTTGCCAATCCATCTCACTAGAGGTCTTCCTCTTTTTCTCTGACCCTCCACCCTAGCAAACATGATATCCTTCTCCAGTGACTTGTCCCTCCTGACAATATGTCTGAAGTATGAGAGATGAAGTTTGGCCATCTTAGCCTCTAAGGAACACACTGGTTGCACTTCATCCAACACAGCTCTGTTGGTTCTTCTGGCAGCCCATGGCACTTTCAATATTTTCCTCCAACACCATAACTCAAAAGCATCAATTCTTCTATGGTCTTCTTTATTTACTGTCCAGCTTTCGCATACTTGTAAGGTTAATTGAAGATACCATGGCTTGGGTCAGGTGCACATTAGTCCTCAAGCTGACATCTTTGCTCTTCAACACTTTTAAAAAGTCTTGTGCAGCAGATTTACCTAATGCAATACGTCGTTTGATTTCTTGACTGCTGCTTCTGTGAGTGTTGATAATTGATCCAAGAAGAATGAAAATGTCTAATGGATCTTAGCTGAAAGCAGAGAATATCAGAAAGATGTTTACCTGTGCTTTATTGACTATGCAGAGGCTTTTGATTGTGTGGATCATGGCAAGCTATGGGCAACATTGCGAAGTACGAGTATTCCAGAACACTTAATTGTACTCATGAGGAATCTGTACATGGACCAAGAGGCAGCTATTTGAACAGAACATGGGAACACTGGGTGTTTTAAAATTATACTGGGTGTTTTAAAAGTGTACGACAGGGTTGTATTCTTTCACCATGCTTATTCAACCTGTATGCTGAGCAAATAATCCGAGAAGCTGGGTTCTATGAAGAAAAACGTGGCATCAGCATTGGAG